TAACATTTGACTTTCACAAAAATCAAGAAAAATACGTTTAAAGTATTAAAATATGGGATTTTGTATAGAGGCAAATTGTGTCAACTGAACTTTTTTGATTCCAAAAATACGTAATAGTTCTATTGTCCACGGAATATTGGGACACCCCATATCGATATAAAAGGGTATTTATAGTTAATTTATAAATTTTGCTTCAACTATATCTGCGTTAGCTGTCATCTTGTTAATGATAAATCAGTGTACTAAAACGTTTTTTAATCATCTACTGATTATGCTAACATGGTTAGCAAAACGCGCGTTAAAGTAAAGTGTTTTGGTGTATTGTGGCGAAATAGTATTATTTGTTTGCTTTTATTATCATTACATTCTTGTTACTTTTTAATTTATGCATTTTAAATCTACTAGACAATAACCACAACTACGCAGAAATGTAAGCAAACAATAATAGTGTACAATTTGTAAATGCGCTTCAGCCAATTGTATCCTCATTTTCATTTTGCAGTTTACATTTGCAGTAGAATTTTTATCCTGTCGACGTAGTGTGTATAAAACACCCATTTTATCGTCTTCGTTCTTTAAAAAAAACTATGTAAAAAATACCGTAGACACATTAAAATAAACATTTTATATTAAACTAATTATTAGTAAAATTTCTAATGGTAGATTTATTTAAATACGATAACATTCATAATATCATTAGCAAAACAAAACATCTGTTATTGTGGTTATCATAGAGCTATTAAAAGATAAATTATTTTTTATGCTTTCAATATAAATTTTAATTTAAAATGACTTTGCCGGTTCAATTTCTTTTTCACCAGCAAATCCAAAACAGTACTAATAATCGAGACATTTTCATCCATATTATTTTATTTTCTCTCCTTTGGAAATCTCTTTTTAAATTTAAATTAGTCGATGAATAAATAGACAGTTTGCCTCTGTTATTATGAAATGCAACTGGTTATTATAAAATGCAATTTTAAAAGTTATTAAATATGAGAATCGATTCCCAAGTAAACATTTTAAATATCTCTGATATTGCAAAATAGCAAATATGCAAAAGAAAAATAAATATATGCATTCGACAGAATAGATAATTTAAAATTATTTTATTTAAAAATAATAAAATACTATGATTGAGTCCTAAATATACGTTTTTAAATATCTAAATGCTTCGAGTATTACAGAATGTATTTTTACATGAGAGGATTATGAAATTTCACAAAAAAATGCAATTTTTACCCTCTGTTTTATATGTCAGTTCTCTATATGCTTCACTTTTTTAAGGCTATTCCGGGTTTCCGAGCAAATGTATTTTTGGATATTAGCTACAGAAAATACCTACCAACACTGGCTTTATAGCCTCTATATCATTATGACGTACCTGAGGGTATGGTAACATAAAGAAATACACGTATTAAAAAAAGGTAATAAGCAAATGCGGATCATGGCATCAAACATTATGCATTATCCATATGATAATTATTACATAAAAGTGATATTTCGATAAATATCTCTATTTTAAATCAATAATTTTAATAGTTTGTAAATAAATCTAATTTATTTGTGGTACTAAATATTTAATATTGTTGCGTAACTAACTAGACCTAATAATATAACACTATTTACCTGATACTAGTTTTAAAAACTTTATTTCTGCTAGATTATTATATAGGGTGCTACAAATTCGAGGTACGAGCATTGGTATCTCGGAAACCGTAATAGATACGAAGATGGTTAAATTGGGGCAAAGTTGCGCCTTGGGATGTTCACCAACATGCCATCAAAAAAGGTTTTAAAATTTCAAGGATTGCTGAGTTTTTTTGAAAAAAACGGATTTTTTTGAAAATCAATTTCATTTTTTCCTGTCGTCACTTTTTAGAAAATCAAAAAACTCATTGCATATTCTCATAGACACTTTATTAGGGCTATCTGATAGTATTTTTAAATTTTCAAATTAGTTGATAATTTGTGAGATACAGAGGCCGACTTATTTTTTTTTAAATACGGACCTCCATTTTTTATTTCAATTTTTGAAAGAATTCGATTTCCTGAGTACAATGATATGCCACACTTTATACTTTTTTTTTGTTTTGGGTACCTTAACAACAATAAAAACAACAAAACTATTTTATTATTATTTAAAATATTTTCAAGTTCGGTTAGGTTAGGTTAGGTTAGTTACCCTGGTTTTTTAAATTATTTAATCTTATTATATTCATTGCAACAATATTGATCAGCTAGAATTAAAATTGAATAAGACAAATCGAGGCAATTGAAAGATTAAAAGAAATAATATGCAGGTCAGCAATTTAAAGATATTATTTTAATTTTTTTATTGTGAATTTGAAATTCTCAGTGTACGATCTAACAATATGCATAATATTAATCGTAGTTATTATATTCAATTTTATTTATAGCTCTTCGAACATATCTTCTTCTTATACTTCCGAAGGCATTTTGTACTCTTTATTGCATATGTTGAAAAAAATTGATTTCTATTTTACAAATGACGTCAAATAATGCCCAATAATAATTAAATATTTAAATAAATAATTATTTAAATATTATTTTTTTTATTGCATTTGATTTTCCGCATTCAATGTTTTACCCCACGTCATAGTTAAGTTTGAAGGCTTATCAATATTGTAATGATGAATAAATTAAATATTTAAAAAAAGAGAGCCGGACTTGAAATTAGTTTAAATAAATTATGCTCAAATGTCCGAAACGTGTGGCATATCACTGTACTCAGGAGACCGAGTTCTTTCAAAATCTGAAATAAAAAATGCAGGTCCGTATTTAAAAAAAATAAGTCGGCCTCTGTATCTCACAAATTATCATCTAATTTCAGAAATCTAAAAATACTCTCAGATAGCCCTAATAAAGTGGCTATGTGCAATTAGTTTTTTGATTTTCTAAAAACTAACTACAGCAAAAAATAAAATTGATTTTCAAAAAAATCCGTTTTTTCCAAAAAACTCAGCAATCCTTGAAATTTTTAAAACTTTTTTGATGGCATTTTAGTGAACATCCCAAGGCGGCAACTTTGCCCCAATTTATCCATCTTCGTATCTATTACTGTTACCGCGATACCAATGCTCGTACCTCGAATTTGTAGCACCCTGTATAGAGTAAACGATAGCCATAAATTTCTAGCATCTACTGATAGCACAGTGTCTATTTATTTATATTAGATTTAATTATTATTTATTCATTAAGTATTCCCATTGCCCCTAACTATCGCTTCTATATTTTTTTTTCATTGTTCTAATTTGATTTGTATCATGTGTTTCATAGGAAATGCAAAACATTAAAAAATATAATTTGTGTTCCTTGAACCAAATATTTAAAACCTAAATGTCTTACTACTACCAGGATGAGTCTTAAATAATAAGTGCAAATATTTTTAGGGGTAGTATAATTCGATTTCAGAAACACGTTTATAGCTTTTTCGCGATTTTTTTTAATACTTGTTTTTTTAATTTTTTGTTAAACATTTAATATCTTGTTAATATGGCAACATAGGTAGTAGATTACATTTAAAATAAAGAAAACAGAGAAAATATTCAAAATTTAGGTAATTTTTTTTTATTTTTAAAGTTTATTTGAAAAACGGTAAAGAAAATATGTTTCTTTTATCGAGATCTAATAGCTTTGAAAATATTTGTCCTTATTTAAGACTCATCTTTTATAATATTTGTCATTCATAAATGGTATCGAATATTCGTAATACATACTTAACATAACTTTAATATACAACGAAATGTCTTATGTATAACTAGTTTTAAACCTTTAGTTTTAATTCATTATGTAACTGTCATTAGCGAATTCTTGTCAATTTTTCATCTGTCAATTTATTTCACCACAACACACCAAAACACTTTACTTTTAAAACTACGTTAGCCATCATCTGCAAATAATTAAAGCTAAATTATTATTTATGAACTCAGTATGTATTTCTATAAGTACTCGGTTGGTTTTAACCAAGTTTGGCAAAATCAACCAAAGCGAGACAAACCCAATCGAGTGTAACAATAAAATGTATTAAAGGCAGGAATTGGACCATTAACTCAGTTCATATTATTGTCTACAATTATTATTTAGTTTCACGCTTTCATATCTATTTGCCTGTAATTTGAGACGTAATTAATCTTAAGTTATTAACATAGAAGGACCTTTATCAAAAATATGTTGAGTAATAAAAAATTTATTTGCTCTACTATACAGAGTGGTCCGAACTGTATTCCGGAAACTTCGGAAGTACCTATATTCTGTAGATAAAAATAAGTAGAAAAGTTCTTATAAATGTATGTCCTAAAATGCTTAGTTTCAAAGATACAGGGTGTAGAAGTTTCATTTTTATTTTGATTTTTTCTAAACAATTTCTGAAATAACGTGGAAAAATATTTGGATAAAAATTGGTGTCTGGGAGTTTTTTGACATGATGAATTTGGATTTTGATGTCAATATGACTCCTACTAGTAGAGGGGGCGCCACCTACGCGTGTTTTAACTGTTTTAAAGCGTAATAACTTTTTGTCCGTACCTGTATAAAACCTACCGAGCTAAAAAATATACATCTCTGTGATTTTCTACTTAAAAAATATATCTTCGTAAAAATCGCTACGAGCAACTGTTCTTAAGATATTTAGAATAGAAATAGTAAAAAAATAAGCACGTTGAGTAGATAGTTATTTCACTGAAATAATAAATTTGGGAAATTTTTATATTTTTAAATTAATCATAAATTTTTCTGCAAAAAAATGATGATGAAACAGTTTCTGTTAAACATTTGGCACAAAAACATTTCAAATTTATGATTTGAGTCTAACAATTATTTAGTCAACATGTTCATATACAAACTAAAATATATGGGAAACTGAAATTGAGATCTTTGAAAGGACTTTTTCACCGCAACCAGTTATACACAAATTTATTAGTTCTGTGACGAACCACCGGTCGCGCTTGAGGAAAAAATATTATGACTTTTAGCGTTTTTCAAATCAAATCAAGTCAGTTTTAATCAAATAATATGCACCGTCAAAAATCGAAAAAAGTTTTACTGAAATTTTAGTGATTGTTTAAACTTTTTATTAAAAACATTGATGGAATCAGGCCGTAAACCCTTTCATAAGTATGTTGTTCCGATGCCAGCATGCATGGAGTTGTTTTCCAAAAGACATACATTATCGAAGAACGATCCTACATTATTTCAAAAGTGATATCAAGTGCGAAACCTTAAAAGTAAGTATATATGCATTTAGTTAAATAAAGAACGTTTTCAGATATTTTGTTCTAATAAAATTAAAATAATCTTTTAGATGATCAACCTACTGGTAATTTGGTATCCAGTGATGTCAATCCAGGTACAAACCCTGTATTTAAAGACAAACATTTGTTGTAGAACTTTTTGGTGGACCACTCTCTCGTTGGTATTAGACATGTACTGTTACCTGAGAAAAGCAATAACTGAAAAGGGTAGGTACCTACACCGTGGGCCAAATTAAAGTCGCAAAATATTCAGTAATGAAGATGAATATTATTATTTTTAAAAAAAATATCATATCAACTTTATAAAAAATATTTTAATTGAGCTGTAAATAAAAAAGTTATGGCACTGCCTACTTTAATTTGGCACAGTGTGATTTAATTATTAGATATTCCAAAGTTTATTAAAAATATTAATATGTATTACGAATCCAAACTGAATTTGGTTTATTGAAATTATCGTTTTAAATTTTTTAAATTGTATCTATCATTTTAGAGAAAGGATCGGATAACCCAAATCAGGAATCTTCAGAGTGCAGATGATGCAGTTTTTGTGAAAGAGGTAAGATCTGCCTCTTGTAAGACCTCTTTCAAGAATTTAACCCAGGGTTTACACCCAAGTTAGGTAAGAATTAAAAAATATAATAAGTGGAGCATACTACTCAAAAATGTAAATTTGCTTTATCAGCAATTGTTTTTAAATCCTGCTTATATTAAAAGGCATATAAACACCACAATTATTTCTTATGAAAAATAATGCCTGTGTTAACTTAAAGACTAAGATAAAAAGTTCATAGCCAATTTCTGTTGAGATTTTAGAGCCCTTCAACGGCATCAACTTTTAATTTTTTCATCCTATAAACCATACTCAATGTCTTTTTATGTGTCACATAATTATACATATTTATTTGTTTCAGATCTCAAGCATAGCAAAGGAATCGTACAACCTGTGAATTCAGTTTAATTACTGAGATCAAGGATGATGAAACATTCATTATGATTATACAGAGCTACAAAGAGTTATGTTGAGAATCCAAATTATCATAATGAATTGAGACGAGACAATACCTGGGTAGAAATTGAGGAAAATGCAGAATAAAAGGCATTTTTATATTAATGTTATGAATCCAATGTTTTATCAAATCGTCACATAGATAATATTTCTGTACGCATAATACTAAAATTAAAAAGGTCAGCTTAAAACAACTTTACTTATCCATCGCGTGCGAAAACAGTGCTTCGCATATGGCATATGGCTTCGGCGCGCTTCGCTCAAGTGCGCATCATGCTTTAAACTTTTGCGGAGCGCCGGAGCGGCCAAAATGTCACTGGATTAATTGCATGTATTTTGATTCTTCGCGTTACTTCGCTTTAATCCGTGGGTCTGCATTTTTATACATAGATATCATTGATCCAATTCACGTTTTCTCGCCGCGCTTCGAATAAGTTCGCGACAAAACTTTGTTAGTTGTATTTTATATTATTTAATGCCATTGTATTGATTTATTATTATTATTGTATTTATATGAACAAGTTAAGAATAGCAGTGCCGTGCGAGCCTTGGTCTGAAAAAGAAATTTTATTTATTGTATAATTTGTATTATTTACTTTTTTTAATAAAGTTATTACTAATAATTATTATTAAACATATCCAGTTTTAATTATTTTTATTTTATTAACTATAGCTGTTTTTTCTATCTATTTCATATTTTTTGATGAGGATAAGTTAATTCTAAATGTAATGTCACCTGTTTCAGAACAATACGATATAATGGAGCGATGTCGCATTTAGAGTAACTTATTCTTATTAAAAAATAGGAAATAGAAGAAAAATCATCTATTTCTGTACAAAAAAAATAAATTACGTTTCAAAAAATTGATAATAGATGGCGCTAGAGTGGACAAAGCAATTAAAGTTACCTGTAGTTAAAATGTAAAGTTTCCTGTGAAATAAAATAAAATTGTATCATAAGTTGTGTAACGACCCGATGCATGGCGCCACTGAATTCTCCAACAGACGGTATCATTTCAGTTTCCTATATATTTTAGTTTGTATATGAACATGTTTAACTTTTATGTCAATGATGACAGGTATTGATAATTTCTATTCCAAATATCTCGAAAACCATTACTCATAGCGGTTTTTACCAAGAGACTGTTTCACGTAAAAAACGTCGTAAATGTATATTTTTTTACTCAGTAGTTTTATACAGGTACTGACGAAAAGTTATTACTCTTCAAACCAGTTAAAAAATATGTATGTGGCGCCCTCTGCTAGTAGAAGTCATATTGACATCAAAATCAAATTGCTCATGTCAAAAAACTCCCAGACACCAATTTTCATCCAAATATTGACGTTACTTCAGAAATTATTTCGAAAAAATCGAAATAAAAATGAAGTTTCTACACCCTGTATCTCCGAATCTAAGCATTTTAGGACATACATTTATACAGACTTATTTACATATTTTTATCTGCAGAATATGCTGCCGAAGTTTCAGGAATACAGTTCGGACCACTCTGTATATTAATTGAGCCATATATTCTTTAAATCTGGATATTATTGATCTTCTAGTTTGTAGATTGTATAAGAGGGGGTAAAGAAAGTTATTCACCGCGACCTTAAATCTACTGTGTTTACGTCTCAAGGCTTTGACTATATAGCCAGTACCTGAGCCGGTTTTACAGAGGTTAGTTCTCCATCTCCGATATCAGTCGTACCAAAGTTTATGACACGAATGGTTGTCGTCTGGGCGCACTCAGCGATAAGGTGTTCTGGTGTTTCCCCATTTTCTCCACAGAATCTGCATCCGTTGTTATTTTTTAGCTTCAATCTACTGATGTGTCCATTGAGGAGATAAATCAAGGAAAATCTTTGATTTTTCTCGGTCGTAAATTCTGAAAATTTTCTTCGAGTGTCTTAGACCGTTGGAGGATTCGCATTCCAGGTTACGGATGGGCTTTTCCAGCTCCTTGAGTTCTGCTTTAAGTCCGTTTCCACTTGGGAAGCAGAACGGTTCTGGTCCAGTTAGTTGAGTGTTCGCTCCTTTTCTAGCTAGATAGTTTGCTTTTTTATTAATTTCTATCTCTTGGACTGGCACCTATTGGAGGACTTTATTTTCTTTGCTTAAACTTTTGTTGAGCTTCTCTAGCTATTCTTTGACCAACTTGAATTGATGGTTACTGAGTTGATCGCTCTAGAGGCTGCTTCACAATCAGATAAAATGGCTATTTATACGCAAATTTCGATAGCCTATATCTTCTTTTTTTTGTTTACTGAACATATTTCTGATTGCAGTCCTTATACGAAAATTTGTAATACACACATAATATAAAAATTTTAAAATGGCCGTATAGCGCTTTAAGTGTTTTTCTAAAAATGCACCGTCCGCAAATAATGTATAGTCCAATCTTTTAAGCAAACATTTTTTTCTTGGCGACTTGCCATAATGGAAAACCGGCGTCCTGAAAGCTCTGTTTATGAATTTCCATATGAATACTAAACGCATTCCGACTTGCCGCTTGAGCGTATACCGTTGTAATTTCAGTTTTAAAATCATATCACTTTCCATTCCGCATTTAAACGTTTAATTAAACATTTACAAATTTAAAATTAACCTCCAACTGCAACTGTGCAATTTGAAACTTTTAATGAAACAATTTAATTTTAAAATTTTTCAGATTGTTTTAATATACCCTTACTTAAACATTATCTGTTATTTTTAATAAATACTGGCGAGGTCATTAAAAATATGATACCTACTTAGCAGTTTTTTAATTAGAACCTAAGTAAATATCTCGTAATATATTTTATACAAGATGAATCAGTATCAAATGAGCAAAAATTAACAATATCTTGATTTTGATTTTTTTTCTGTAACCCGGTTCATAATACGAACTGTATACGGTAAGATTTGCAAGTACCTGCGGACTTGGTCTACAGATAAAAACATTGTATTTGTGTGGTGGACCAAGTGTGGCAGGCTGAGATTCTGAACAGCACGATTTTTTTTATGTGATAAGAAGTAAGGAAATTAACAAAAATAAAGTTTCATAATTCAATTAGTAATGTTGAACAGTAATAATAATAAGAAAATTAACATATCTTTATATAATTGTAGCAAATCTCTACTCTTTGATTGTAGTTTGTATTTTACAGTAAACAAATGTTTCAATCTGACTTTGTAGGGCTTGCAAATGCCCCCTACGGGCCCGGGTCCGCGTTCCATAGAACACGTTGGAACACCGGTAGTTACGTCACTGCGTCTGTTGTCTGTTGTATGAAGGGCTAACAGCGCTTTCAGATGAAGCGGAGCTTTTTCAAGATAGCCGTTTTTCAAATCATCCGGACGGAGCATACGCGATCCATGTGAAATTGTTCATATATGAACTTATACATATATTATTAACAGGCAGTTTTTTTCGTCCAAAAATTTTAAATATTTTTTTTTCTCAAAAAGGGTTAATGTTAGGTATAGAGTGTTTAACATCAATATTTATAGAATTTTACAGAGAATTTAAGTGTGTAATAAAAAATGGGGGCACCCATTTAAAATAAGAAAGTTGCTGTCAACTTCCGTTATTTCCGGAAGTGCCGCCATATTGAAAATATTTTTAATCAAATAAAATTAATAAAAAAAATAGATCTGATAGATCTCCTTGTAAAACAATGATGTGTGCATAAAATCTCCGATCTAGATATTGTGGTTCTCGAGAAACCTGTAATGCACGCTCAGCCTGGGATATCCTGTATATGTGCTACTCTTGTATAGAATAATATATTAATTATGTAAAAATTAGTTACTAGATATTATGAGAAATATTTTAATTAGTATCTAGTTTTGGCATCTAAGTTAAATTATCTAGAAACTACTCTACAAAACAAACAAATTTTCATATAGAAATAGAGACACTATTCAGTTCCACATCAATATAACAAAATCTTAGTAAATAAAATGTTTAACTAGATAATTATTTCTATAGAATTATTTTTAATAAACTATGTTTATATTATCACTTTTACTTACTTTTTAATTAACTATGTTTATATTATCACTATTTAAAACTGTATCTTCTGTCTGATGAACATTTCGTATTAAATTTATAACATCATTTAGCTATTAAATGGAATGTATTTAAAACATTCCTAAAGTCGAGCATTTGTTTTTTTATTAAAAATGAAAAAAGTCTGTCCTGTCAAAAATACGAAAATTAAAAGTTCAGGGAAATAAAAATATTCCAGTAAAGAGAAAGTATTTATAACTGTTTCTTTTAACATTAAGGAAACAGATATATCTACAGCGGCATAATAAAAATTAATAAGTTTGACGGTTTAAACTTAAAAAAAGTTTAACACAATTCCACAGAAATAACAAAAACCGCTTGAACAAAAAGAGAGTTTGCGAGAGTTTCTTATTAGATTTGAAGACTTTGACGAATTGCTATTTAAACTTTTATTATTTAGCTTTTTAAAAGTAGTCTTCACTTCTCAATTAATCTTATAGATCTTTTTAGAATAAACTAATTTTAAACTGTGGGAACATCCAAATAAAAGCGAGAACAATAATTTTTCATTTAGATATTTTTCTTGAAGTAGTAGCGACATACATGCATTGTGTCGAAAATAAGTTATTGTATTATTTCATTTACGGATATTACAAATTAATACATTTGCAGTTGCCTGCTTGTACTCTGTTATATTAATTTTATTAATATATTATGATTCATGTACAATTTTTATTAATACCATGCTGGCAATTATTACTTTTGGGTCGGTTTTTACATGTGTGGAAGTAAATCGCATAGGGATCTTATTAAGTCGGAGTGAAAGAAATGCGACGGTGTGCTGATGCGCCGCGGCGTTGCTGGTACGTCTTTCCCTATCAAGTAAGTAGAAAAGTATTTTCGAAAAGATAACTAGATAAAATCATTAGATACGTTTCTGAAATGGAATTATAAGGATATCGTTAGGGTATCCATTTTTTATAACAATAAAACGTCAGTAACCGCGATAATTTAAAAACTCAACTTTTTAACAATACACGCTATAACTTAAGGACCACTTTAGACACTGAAACGTTTTTTTCTTATTTTAAAGATCGGATCTTTTACAATATGTTTAAATAAGAAAAATTCGATAAGGTTGTTTTTTTCCATTAAAAAATTTTAAACAGCCAGTGCATAGCAATTTTTAGCAATCGTGTAGCTTTTTATTTATAAAGATTTTCACATTCTGTCTGCGAAGAAAATATAGCAGAAATGTTTTTGCAAAAAATGCAAAAAAAGTTTTTGAAAAAACTACAATCAATTTTTCAAAGAGTTCTAATAGCGCCACCACTGTCGAACACCAACTCAATTCCACTTATTTTTAACAAAAATGCAACTATTCCTTATTTTTTGATTTTATTATTTTTTATTTAGTTGAAAATTACAACGACTCGTTAATAAATAAACAGATAAAGTATCGCAAGACCTAATTAAATCGTGAAGCTGAACGCATTATGTACACCTTTCCCTAGAACTTTAAGTACTGACAGAGG